TCAAAGCAGCTCGTTTTGATGCTGTCTCTTTAAATCCAAATGAGGCGCCTCACATTCCGTCCCCCCTCCAGCTGTCAGAGGTTCATTCTAGTTTGATGGAGGAGTTTACGATTATATAGTGGTGCAGGAATGTTTTATTTACAAATTACTTAAAAGATGTCAACAATGGCAGACTTGTCCATGATGTTGGAGCCAGAATCTGACCCAGAACCAGAGGTGAATGAAGACGACCAAACTGTAGATGGTAAGCTCAGACCTTATTTAGAAGTTCCGTCACAAATTCTATGACATAATATTTCAGAAAATAGAGAAAACTGAACAGGTTGAAAATATTACCCAAACAGAATATAAAGATATCTACGAATCATCAGGAGAGACTGGAAGTACACAACAACATTCATTTAATAGATTTAAAAAAATGTAATTTTACATATGTCTCTATTAATACACATATTCTAAGTGATTACTTTTTATGAGCTTCATTAAAATCACTCCACTGGTTCATGAGATATTTTGCTAACAGACAGACAAGCAAACACGTGCATACAGACACGATTGCCAGTCTTCCATGGTGGCGAGTGGTAATTACAAATGTTTACTTCAGATTTTTATTTGTTTAATCTAGCGGGAAGCCATACATCGACAAATCTGACTGCACTTCCAGCTGGTTGACACTCTCAGAAGGACAGTGCCTCAAACAGGGGAACCATTGTAAACATTTTACCAACATTTTACTCTGTTTGGTTTTGTCTGTTTTATCTTGAATTTGATGTAAACGGAGCATGAAATTGGCCAAATATAACAAACGCAACTAAAAAGTAAATAAGTTTCTTGACGGAAAGTTTATTTATTGAATCGAATTCTACAAAAGCATTTCTTTTCTTTTTTTTTTCCTCTCAGATGTTGTGCTTTACTGAAACCACATGTTTGAAACGTCTAAATTTATCGGCTCACGGAGCTTACCGTAAACCCGCTTGTTCACGGTACAGTTAGGACTGTCAGCACACAGGACGCTAACGCTCCTCACGCTGCTCATTACTGACACGATCTGAGGAAGGGATGGGGAGATGAAGCAAACAAAGACGATGGAGAAATCCTGCAGACGTCCAGGACTTGAGGCAGAGAAAGAGGTCATTCTCAGTGCCAGCGAGGGCCTCATTTCCAGAACGATAACATACTGACTCCTTACCCCTGCCTGTTTACCTCGCCACAACCTTTCCCAATCTCCCGCATACCTCCTTCCCTGAATATCTCCCTTCAGAAAAGGTGGGTGATGGAGCAACAGTCTGTGTAGACTCAGGTTGCTAGAACCCTGATAACCATGATGGGACTAGTGAGAGGTTGTCTCATTTTAAAGTAGCTGTGTTTGTTTGGCTGAAGGGTCAGCTAACTTTTAACCACATCTGGCTAGTTTCAGCTTAACATCCTCCTGAATTATCCACTTAACTTTTGATGGTAGAAAAAAAAATGTCTCAACCTTGCTCCGTCCTAGGAAAGGAAATACGGCTGTTTAAAATTCACTGTAGCCCATAACTCATAACATTTCTGTTTTCCCGCTGACGGTTTTATGTCGGGACAATGTCAAGGCCTTCAAAAGTCCACGCCTGATATCAATCCAGGAGTCCCGGCTCCCACAGTCCCTGACCGGCTGTGAAATGGAGGGGTATTAATCCTGGTAACGGAAGAGCGGCTGCAGCCGGTTTGTTCTGTGATTCACTGCTGACTGGTTCTCTCTGAGAGGGCCATAAACCAGACTCAGACAACCTGTCCGTGTGGATTTGCATACAAATTGCTGCGTTGTGAGGCGAAGGATTTGTTTAAAGGTGATTTTTGAAAGTGATGTTCTGTCAAATGGTTATAACAGTCTGTACTTTATCAGCTGTGACAAGCATCAAGCTCAGAATATGGAGAAAATGGCAACAGCTCAAAAGATTGATAACTACTGACTAGGGTTGGGCAATATTGGCAAAAAAAATTAATCACGATTAATTGTGGTATTTAGCCGATAACGATTAATTTGACGATTAATCCCCTGGAGTCCCTGGACACCCTCCTGTCCTAGTCACATGACCAATTTAGTGGGAAAGATTTCATAAAAATCTGTTCCAAATTGTGTCAAAATTACAGACTTCAAGCTACACATCAAATTTAAAACTGTGTTGATAGATAAATAAATTGCAGAACTTTTTTTTAATGTGCATCCTATTTGAAGCAGAGAGGAGCAGCGAGCGGATTCTGCCTGGTGGCATTAATCATATTAATTGTCAAGTGCCAAAAAGTAATCGATTAGTGTTTTTCTGATGATTAATTGCACACGATACGATTATGCCCAACCCTACTACTGACTAAACTTTGCTTCATAACTGACCAGATTATTCCTTTGAAGGGAGGTATCATGCAAAATCCACTTTTTAGACATTAAACACATATTTTTGCATACTTGGAGTCCAGGAGTGCAACTTAGTTTCTTCCGGTGATGCATAAGTTTCCGTTGTTGACATCTTTTAATTAATTTCGAAATAAAAAGTTTCTGCGCTGCTGTAGCTTCGTATCTCTGTTATCAAACTATAATGGTGCTCTGGAAGSKGGGGGGGGGGGGGTGAAGCGCATTATTTGGATTTAAAGAGACAGCCTCAAAACGAATTCATATGGGACAGAAAAGGGGTGAAAGAGGGGTTTGTGGAGTTACAATAAGGAGGAATTCAGACCAAACTATTGCAGTTCTACTTTACACAGACCCCAACTGAACGACTTAAAGTTTAAAAAAGGATTTAAAAGCACATCTTAAATAGGATAAACAAACGTGTCACAAAAAGAAAATTATCAATACTGAGTTATTTTCCCCCTAATTCTCTAAAAATGTCAAAATGATTTGATGATTCTCATTTGACTTATCGTGATCATGTACAAGTCTTAACCACTAAGTTGAAACAGAAATTATACGTTTATTCAAAACTTAGATCCAATCTGACATCTTCTGTTTCAAATATCTATCTTCATGCCATTATACTCTCAACCATGTCGTACTGTTTACCTGTTTGGTCTCTTACAACAAATGAAATCTTAGAACCCATAGTTAGGCTCTACAACAGGGCCTACAAAATTCATAAAAAACTTCCTGGTTGGACTCATCACTGTACAGTTCTTTCATTGTCTGATGCCTTGACTTTTCAGAATTATGTTTTGTATAGTGGTATTAATTTATATTTTCAGATCTTCCAAGGTGCCAGTTATGGAACTCTCTGTGCATTGTTGCCCAAATCAAATTCTGGAAGTGGTCATTCAACTAGATCTGTTACAAAAGGACAACTGATATTACCAACTTTTAAAAACTGTTACGGCCAGAGGTCTTTATTCTATGTTTATACTAAAGCATGGAATGACATTCCTCAAAACATAAAGTCCATTTCAACTACAGCCCTTTAAGAAGAATCTTGTCTGCCATCTGCTGGACACTTTTTGTTCTGCTCATATTTAGACGTTCCATTTTGCAAATGCTGCCTTCCTGAAATTTGGTATGCTTGTTTGTCTTTGGGTTTTTTATGTGCTGCAGAACAGGAACCTGCTGTAAAACAGCAATTATGCTGAGTCAGGCTTGATTTTTAGTAATATTTTCCTGTTGAATCAATAAATCAAATCAAATCAAATCAAATCAAATCAAATCAAATCATGTTTGTTGAAATCTGGAGATTTATCACCTGACAAGCCTGTTTGAAAAATCAATTTTTATTTGTCTACAATGATGTCACTCTACATTTCTTTTTTTAAAAGAGTAATGCATTGCTTCACAATAATGCCAAATATTATAGGGAGGGATTTCCTGGCAGAGAAAATTTGTCAATTTCGAAGGAAATTATAAAGATGCTAAAAAAAAAAAGATTATTTCTGATGATACATCTGTAAGAAAACTTCAGTTTATAGGAAGATTAGGATGATAATGCTATTTTCTTAACCAGGATAGACTCATTTTTTATACAAATCTCAATTATAGTAATCTGTCTGTGTACCCCTGTGTGTGGCCGACGATGTGAACGACACAAAGCTCAGCATCACATTTTGACCCATATGGTGCCTTTTTGTGAGCCGGGTCGAAGCTCAGGGCCACAAACTGTCTGGCAGCGGGGATGGCATGTTATCCTCTACCTCACCCACCCCTCCTCCTCCGTCACTCCACGCCCTCCGAGGGTCTCCCTCTGTGTGGTCCTCGCATTCCTCCATTTACTTGTCTTTGCACCTCTCAACCTGGCAGAGCTGACGCAGAGTCAGCAGGTAGAGAGCTGGTTGAGATTTTGTGTGGAAGTGCTTTGTAGAAGAGCCAGTTCTCACTAAATACACACATTTAATCGTTAAGTCTAACATGCACAAAAGGTTGTCATTTGCTCCATATGATCATTTTATAGGAGACTGTCTCTTATTGTTTCTGTAGCTTTATTCTGCTTTGAAACACAATCAGAAAATGGGAGCAATTACTTGTGATTACATACATGGAGCTTTAGGTAACTCATCAGCATGTCAACAACAAAGGGAGGCTGATTGATCAAACAGCCAGGCTTGCATTTTGGTCTGAGTTGGCAGCAATCAAAAAGGATTTCGACTGATTAAACGGAGTCTTAAAACAACAGGGTCATGGATTGGGAGAACATGTCAGGACTGGTTTTAAGGATGTTTTTGAAAATACTTTGAAAATCACCCAATTCAAACCTGCTGTTCATTTATGAACTATTGATCTTTATATTCTTTTACTACATCGTGTTTTTTTTTTATTTAGATGGCGTTTATACCCGTTTTGATGTGAATCCTGAGGAAAAGCAGAGCTCCATTTAACACCTCAGTGTCAGTCTGTGTTTATAGCTTTCACACATTTCTATCAGTGTGGTAAACAAGTAGTTATATAGGTTAAATTTCACAACTTAAGTGGGGGGGGGGGCGTTTTCATGCATGAGAGGTTGCTCAGGGTGGTGTATTCAGCTGTTATATTAGTGTTGTTGAGATTCACATACCGACAGCCTTAATTATGAATCCCTTTGGTGACCTCAGAGCCCTGCGCATCCACGCTTCCCTCAGCACTTCCAAGTTGTTGGCGTTCCCCTGAATGAAAAGCACCAAGTTTTCCATCCATCCCTGGAAGTACACTTCAGCCACGGCCTTCACCAGCCGCTTGTTCCAGAAGCTGCGCGAGTTCAGCGCCTTAAAGCCCGCAAAAATCTCCTGGCCATTGGCCGTGGAAGCGGGTTTCCCCTCGCCCGCGCGTAAACTCTCCTCGTCCGGGCCGAAGACGACGGCGAGCGAGGCTCCGGAGAGCTGGACGAGCCGCTGCTGCTGAGACATGTCTCTCCGACGTCTTTTAACGGGTCTGGGAAGGAGCTATCATTCTGCTGACGGACAGGAATCCCCGCGGAAGACTGAGAGCACGGCGGGGCTCGCCGGTCATTCCTCCAGTGCGCGTCTGGATCCTGCAGAAAGGGACACCAACAGACTGTCAGAGTCCAGGGAAACGAGTGACGGAGGAGGAGGAAGAGGAGGAGGAAGAGAGGAGGAGGACTGAAGTCTGCTGCTGCTGCTGGGGCACACAGGTGGACCTCCCACCGACTCTTCACAGGTGTGTGTGTGTTTCTTTACATTGAAAGGCGAAGAATCCCCCCCCCCCCCCCCCAGTTTAAAAGGAACCACAACAACGAATGTGACCAGGTATCCCCGAGCAGGGACTAATTACGCAGGTGGAAGGGAGAATTTATACAAGTCTTTACAGACAAAAACTGCAGAGAACATCAAAAGACCTGAGCCCAGGGGGAAAAAAAGCAGAATCCATCAACAAAATAAAGAGATGGTTGGGTATATTTGCTGGAAGGGGTGATTACTGAGTGAGAACAGGTGAGTTGATGACAAATGGGTAACAGGTGTGTGGGAGCTGAGGCAAGGATATTTGGCTAATATTGGAAATGTACTAATACGAGAAACTAAAGAACAAATAACATTAGTCTGCTAAAAAAAACTTGATGAAAACAGTAAAAAACACAAACCCAGTGGTGGTCATCGGCTAGCTATAATAGCGGAACTAATTTTTAGTTTAGTGAATTAGCTTTTTACTCTATGAAAACCATTAGCTGATCAATTAGCATCAGCTCAATTAGGTTTTGACAACTTTTAACAAATTTTCTCCTTACATGTTTAGCAGCTTAGTGTCAACAAAGCTATTTTAGTTAGTAGATTATGAGTTAGCAAAGCCAACCTGTCCCTACCACTGAATCAATAAATAAATGAAAAACTATTATCCTAACAACTTGACATATACGTATGTTGCTTTTAAATTAAATTCTTTAAAAAAATTAAAATAAAACTGAATTTGTGATTTTGCTTTCGGAAATATAATTTTTTTTAACAAAGTACATCACAGTATCATCAGCGTAGCATCTGATGCATTCAAGGCTACTGGTGCATAAAACACAAGTGACTCCAAAACTGACCCCTGTGGAACACCTGTGGCCACATAACGGTAGTAAGAGGTAACATATTTTACTTTCAGTCACTGAAATCCTTCTTTTTAAAAGACAGCATGTTACACAGCTATTTCCTTTGTACATGTTTTTAATTTTTATTTATGCCATTCAACAGAGACTGTTTATGACTGCAATAACAAATTTTAAAGCTTTTTTAAAAGCAACTCAGAGTTCACATTTAAAAGATTTGTGAATCTCCATCCTCGTGACAATTTATTCCCTCACATCTATCTTTTAACACTAATGCCAAAACAAACGGCTTTATGTGACATACAGCGATCTCGTGAGGAAAATAAATTCCCAAGGATTGAATGAAGATGACAGAAACTTGAGTTACTGCTTTCACAACAGTGATTTAGCAGAAGAAAATGCTGGTTGAGTGAAAGCGCCTCAGCGTGCTTGCCACTAAAATGAGAACCATACCCTCCTGTGCTCTTTACCCCTTTAGGCCCAGCTTTTACTGACATGGAGTCTGGAGCACACACAGACACACCACTCATATATCACAGAAGAGTCTGAGGCTTTAGTTTCAGGAGCACTCAGGCCCCTGATAGGCCCGAGGCCAGTCAGCCTCAGTGTGGTAGAATGCTTTTAGAGGAACAGGATATTACGCTTCCCATGGTACATCACCTCAGCCTACACAGGATGAATTATATACAATCTGTCCCAGGCAGAACATCAAGTAAAAAAAGGAGGAATGAAGCAAAACCCTGTATCTTTGTTCAATTTATTCTTATCACAGATTTTACAGTAGTTGTTTATGATTTTAAAGCATTACTGAGTCAAATGTGCTATTAAGAAGTGTGCTAACCCTAATATTCTGGGTAATGATTTAGGTTGGCACCAGGATCATTGAATCCATGGTATTGAGGGTGGACGTGTTCTAACAAGTTTTAAAAATTGGTCTTTTCTGGAGGCGGTCTTTAAAATTGTTCTTGTGTTTTTGCCATTTTTTATTTTTTCCTTCAGCAATTCAGTCGAAGCTGTCATGATATTTTTTAACACTGTATGATACTACCACCACTGTGTTTCGCAACATGGTAAGGGTGTTCATGCTGAATAAAAGGGTTTTAACTTGTTGAAGCATTTTTCTTACAACATAAAGCCTGCGTTCTGTTCTCCACATGTATATAAACATAGCAAAACAATGTTAATGCTGTTTGCATTACACCAGAGGCTGCAGAAATGCAGTCATTGTTTGCTTCCTCCAGATAAAAAAAAATCTTGGCACTAGGTTTGTTTAATCTGAACATTGGGACAATAGGACCTGGACCACACATTAAAATCTTCATTTTTTCCCCCCTTCAAATGTTTAGTCTGCTTGTGGGACTGATTACCATGAAGCAAAGTTCACTAAGTTACCATAATGACGTGAAATTCTGCGCCCCCAACCCCCTGATTTCTAATTAGCATCCCCATCTTGCTCACGCTGCGTTCTGGAGCCGTTTCAAAGCGGTCTCAGATTTCTCTGAAGTTCCATCGACGTCGACTTGATCACATTGTATATTTTCCATATGATAATTTCAGCGAACCACAATCTGACTCGTGTGTGTGTGTGTGTGTGTGTGTGTGTGTGTGTGTGTGTGTGTGTGTGTGTGTGTGTGCATATACGTACAAACTCCAACATCTGGTCCTGCTAAAGCTGCTTGGCTCTCGGGACTAACACAACCCCGCAAGGCTTCCCCTTAACCCCAGAGCTGGGAATAAATACGACCCAATCATTCCTAAATCTAAACATGATTCCAGCATGTGTGCCTATATGTATGAGTAATAACTTATGCATGAGGAAAAACCTTCACTTCTACAAGTAATGGCTGCCTTTTGGATGAGGATTGTCACCTCTTCGTTTGAAGTAGGATGGCAATGAGACATTTGGTCGCAACAGAAAGGGTCAATTCTGCATCCCATGGTGAGGGTCAAAGGTCATCAGCCAACTGGATGTAGACAGCTGAAATGTTTTACTTAGATTTAAAGTTACTGTACTAAGGATTGTTTTTTTAATAAGCAACCTAGCACTATTTTCCATTATCATTCTTGTCTGAGCTAAGCTAACCATTTTCCTACGTTGACTAATTCATTCCCGTTAACTAAGTCCCTGCAAGAAGTAAAGTACCATTAACAGCATTTCCCTATGAAATGCATACACACACCCCTACTCCCCATCTCCTCTCAAACCAGAGTTTCAGACTGAAATCATCTTACTGTATGTCCGGAAATGAGAAAGTTCCAGCTGTTTTGGTCAAATATCATACTGATTTCTTATTCATTAAATATTAGAGTGTGTGTTGTGGTTGCTCTCAACTACAACCACACCAAATTTTAATCTCAGTTTTATGTACTGGCTGAGTGCCTTCTGTTGTGTCGGCCATCTTGAATTGGGTTGACTTCAAAAGCTGCAAATGTTCATCCAATGACGACTTTCTGCAAGCTTTAGAAAACTTTGTATCGTTGTTGCTTAGAAATTACGCTAACAGACAAATGCACAGACACGGGCGAAAACCTTTACGGGCCCTCCGCCTTTAGCTGCTGGCGATAAATACTAACCTATTTTTCATAAATCATCCAGGTGGCACACAGCCAGGAAACGCTGTCAAATTATTTTCTTGGCTTAGTAAACTAATTTGTTGTTAGTTAAAAAAAATTTTTTTAAAGAATGTGTATTAATCTTTATGCGTGAGTGAACATGTCTTGCCATCAGTCAAGCCCCTCTGTTATTATGATTTCATTATTTCTGTGCTCCACCATGGCGGCAAAGATCAAAGGAGGGGCTGCTTTACTGTGCTTTGTGTCTCTGCGCTGCCTGTAGACGTTTAAAGCAGCGATTCGTGCACGCTCCACGGCTTCAGGCCACAAATCAGTGCACATCTTAAGTGAAACCTTCAGGACCGGCTTACTTCACACAGCAAGCAGCCAGACTCACATAATGAGGGTGGTTTGACCATAAAACATGATTACTTAAGTCGGGACTATCATTAAGGCATGTTGTGTTTAAGTCAAAGACAAGATGGTAATATAGCAACACTCTTGGAAGAGGAGGTCTTTGTCCTGTCGCTGTAAGGTGGGCAATCATGTTTTCTCCTCAGGTCTGTGAGTTCTTGCAGAAAGTAATCACGGAGCCATCTACAACTGATTAATCTTTGGAGTCAACCCACATCAAGATGGCTGACCTTTTGAGCTAAAATTAGACGTGGTAGTAGTGAGGATGAGCTCAACTCGTACATAACATTACCTTTAAAGTTTGAGCAAAACGAGTAAAACTTTTTTATTTCTCATCACAAAACTGTGGCATGAAAGATGGCGGGCGATGTGCATCTCTTTAAGGATTGCTAAGCCTTTGACTTTAGGGGACTTTTTTTGGCAAGAAGATAAAAAAAGAGGAGGCTGAAAGTTACTAGAGTGTTTGAAGGTGGTGAGAGATGGGTTACACAAGCATCCTCATGATGACCACACACGTGCGCTCAGCTCGTGGTCATGCTGAAGATCACGGCTATGTGAAAGATGTCTCCAGCTGCACTTTGAGGTTGTACGTTGCAACCAGAGACCTCCTTCTTTAACTGAGTCTTCGTTTGTGAACTGATGCGTGTACACGCTGCGACGTTCGCAGGTGGAACAGTCTCATAAAACACTAACCCGCCCTAAAGCCATAACGGTGTTTTTTTCTTTTCTTTTCTTTTTTTTTTGTACAAGCTCTTTGTGTTGCCGTTTGATTGATTTATTGCACACAAAAAAAAGTGACAGTGAGCAGAAATAACAGAGCAGAGTTAAAAGCTGGTTCCAACTTAAAGACATGCTTTTTCAGCTTGAAGGGAGATAAAACGTAGAGCTAGTGAGGTTTCATTTCCTGACTACCATCACAGCCATGAAGGTCATGTGACCATTGAAGGCAGGTGATAATGTGTGTTGGACATACGTCTACATCTGATTAACTTTTGGAGTCGCTCCAATTGAAGATGGCTGCCACAGCTAATTAACTTTGGCATGCACAATAGCTTTAATTCAGTTATTTTTTTTACAGCTATTGAGCTAAAAGTACACTTAGTTTCTCCACTGTCATTATCTATGTTTTAATAAAATCCCCAGCATCTCTGTTTCAGATCTTATTTTAGCCACGTCGGCAGAAATAATAAAGTCCGCTAACATCAAGGCCCGTCCTGGTCTGTGATGTGTCACGTGTCACTAAATGAACATCCAGAGAGCCACACACTAAATTAAAACAGGACCCGAAGCTTTGAACCGAGGGAGCAGACCCTGAAAGTCTCCATGGTGACCCGACATCAAAGACCCGTTCAGCATGTGAGCTTCATTAGAGGACAATAATACTGTTCTTCGGCCAAAGAGGACACATAAAGTAGCACATATTACTACGAGACACGCAGGACCACCGAGCGGACGCTGGTGTCAGGAAGAGTCTGTTTCCTCCTTTAAGTTGATGTAAGACAAACAGGAAATGGCTTTCTGTCCAGTTTCAGAGCTGAGAGACGTGCAGCTGGAGGACACATCTGGGTTAGAGAAATCAATAGAACATGTTTGATTGGTTTTCATTACAAAGCATGATTTCAATTAAAATATTTTATAACCTTATGTTAGTAAATCAGCTTTGCTTTAACTTTGAAATCATGACCTTTTTTTTTTTACAATATTCAAACACCACTCAACTTTTTAAGTCCATAAATTACTGAGTTGTAGCCGTTTTGGTCAAATCTTAAAAACAATACACAATCTTGTGCAATACTGTCAATACTCTCAGCTACTACCACGTTAAGTTAGTTTCCCAATATATATATCAAATGAACTGAGCTATAGTTATTTTTGTGTTTGTTACTGCTGACTAGCTGTGGCAGCCATCTTTAGTTGGATTGACTCCAAAAGGTTACCAGTTGTAGATGTAAGTAAGTAAGTAAAATTTTATTTACATAGCGCCTTTCACAGAAATAAATTCATAAGGTGCTGTACAAACAGTTAAGAACACCCATTCAAGAAGACACACAAGACAAACATGGGGGAACAGGTGTACAGGTCATGCAGCAACAGAGACAGAGACAGAGACAGAGACAGTTGCACTATCTTTAGCAAAAAAAAAAAAAAAACTAAACAAAAAAAATAAAAAACAAATCTGAAAACCACACAAGGGAAGATGAGGAAAATAAAACAAAACATCATATTAAATCAACAATGTGATGTGACACACTATGGTGTTTATTTAAAAAAAATCTGCATAGAGCACATTTATTAGCCAGAGGAGTAAGTGAGTTTAGGGGGGCATGTATCTGAAGCCACGAGTGTTGTAAGCACTTGTGTGAATATCTGAAAAATGAGCCTGAAGAATCGAGTCCCCAAAACCCGCGCAGCTGTAGTTCAGAATATGGATGCTAACTGTTGATTCTGTGCGGCCCTCAGGTTGCTCTAGGTACCAGATCACAGACGGGTGTGTGTGTGTGTG